TGCAAGCGCGCGCGCATGCAGACACAAATCGGGATGCCGTAACAGTTTTTGGCTTCAAGAATTACAATCCATGGATATAACCATATGGGATCATGAATCAAGCTGAACTAACATTTGTATATTCTTTTCTGATGAAGAAATGGTCAAGATCCTAAATCATGATCATTAACAGATTTAACCAAAAAAAAAATCTAAATCATGGTCGGGCCCTCTAAGGATTCCAGCTAGTGTCTCTGCGAGTCTGGGTGCTTAAAGCCACGACTTGGGGCATTCGGGATACTTTCAGAAAGCAAAATATGCACTTACTTTTTTAAACGGATGAGTATGACTGTATGAGCTAGCCCCTACCCACCAGCAGCAACACACAGTGCATCTCCGTGTCTATCTCTAAAAACAGTAGCTCCACCGTCGGCAGCACAAAACGCGTCTGCATCTTTTGTGGAGGGAAGGAAGGCGTCTCTACTTGCAGAGAAACCCCTCCGCGTTGTGCCTGTGTGCCTAAACCCTGTAGAAGAAAGATGCTCGCAATTTCACTGTGACGTCGCCGGAGGCGACGAGGACGAACCCCGAGCTCGGCGGCGGCGTGAGGCCGCTTGCCCCACATATCCTCTCTTCAGGTACGCACTCCTCTCACTGCCGTCGGGCGGAGTTGGGCGCACGCACCCGCCGGTTGGGGTGCTCGGATTTGTCGCCTGAGGGTGTCGCTGTCGCGCTAGCCGATGAGGGTGGCGCGCAGGTCGACCGGAGCTGGGGCTTCTGGAATCGCCCGGATCTGAGGGGATCCAGGGGTGCGCGGGTCACGACGAGGGCACGGGCGGGCTGACGGGTCGGGGCTCCGGAGTCCGGACCAAGGTAGCGGGCAGCTCGCTTGAGTACCGGACAAGTTGCACAATGGCATGCAGAGAGGGAGACCCAATTTTGGGGAATTGGACAAGGGGACTGTGTGGCCCCTCGCCCTTGGAAATATATACTCTAGTTGATAGTTCCAGCCTTAGCAAATAAGTAGATGCTCAGTTCAGAAAAAAAAAAAGAATTGACAGTTTGGGCCTTAAAAACAGAGTGTCGCACAAGAAGATAAAATTCCTCTCAGAAACACTAGTACTACTAGTAGTAAGAAGATACTATATAGGAGTATAATATTAATGATGCTCAACAAACCTTGCAGCCAAATCCAACCCCAAATGCTTGGAATCATGCAACAAGTGCTATTGGTAGCACCGCAAGCAGCTTACCGGCATTTGCACCTGCCGCCTTAGCCAAGCAACTTAGATTGCTCTATACACGTCCCACTGCACGCATCAGAGCCAACAAAGTTACTCCTACTTACTTGCGAACGTTCCATCCAGCTTAATTTTCACCCGTATCTAACCCCACGCGCAGCGTCCGTGCTGATAACTCATCCTCCCTTTAATGGCTTCAGGAACTTCCACGGCATCCGGAACTCGCCATCACTATACAGCAGAGTTATCTTCTCCAGGTTGGTAATTTTTTTTATCATCATAATCAAGTAAGTTGGTTCTTGTTGCAAATTCTCTAACGGACACGATCTTGTGCTTTCTTGTTACTTTCAATGTGTTCAGCTGGTGGCATCCCCACAGCTGGAGATTCATTCCCCTCTCGGAGTAGTTCAGATAGGGTAGAAGCGGTGACTTGCAGAAGATTGTGCTACTCCCCTTAAATCTCTATCATACTCTTGCTTACCTGTATGTATCTAATTAACGTAGATTTTAATTTAATTCGGACTCTAGTTTGAGTGCAAGCTTTTAACTATCATCTTCTGCAAATTTGTTTCAGTTGCTCCAGTCACTTGTGTCGCTTCCGTCTGAAACTTCACCAACATCGCCTCCGAAACTTTTGCCTGAGCCAAAATGATGATCAGCTACTTGCTTCAAGCGATCACGGAGACGATGCTATGTAGCTGCTCCATGTGGGTTGGATTTATGATCTACGTGTCCATTTGTACGTTCATTGATATGTTCATGGAGTATATTGTTTTCAAGAATGCGCATGACGATATCATGTTCCTGGAAGCCATGCTCGAACCAATTCAGGCCCTCCTCTTGGGGATGTCCAAGATAGAGGAGCTTGACGAGCGAGATAAGTACTGGATGAAGTATATGCAGAAACTTTCCCAAGATATTGACTACAGCATCAGCGTCTTCATGTTGCTTGGATTTGGATATGATAAAACCGTCAAGCCAAAAGGTTTCAAGAGCTTCATAAACAGGACTGGGAACCTATGGACATTTATAAGGTTTCGCCATGAGATACTACCGGAGATCAATAATCTCGTAGAACTAGTCAATGAGTTGTGGCAGCGGTTTGGAAGGTGCAAAGTTGATTACGACCTCTTCGAGGCTACCAAGTTCCTGTATCTGGAAAGCTTCTTCGTGGGGCGCGCAGGACAAGACCTGGTCAACCTGCTCACTTTTCTGCTCGAGGAGTACAAGCTCTTCAAGAGTGCGTGTGATAAGACCGTGTTCCTCAAACCCAAGGTCGAGACAATAAATGCTTTCCTTTTGAAGATGTCCCAGGTAGAAGGACCTGACGGGCAAGACAAGTACCGGATGAACAAGATGCAGAAGCTGTCCCACGACATCCAGGACAGCATCAACGACTTCATGCTCTGTGTATATGATAACCCCACCAAGCCAAAAGGTTTCAAGGGCTTCATAATCAGGTCCACAAACCTACTGAAATATATCAATACCAACCGTGCGATACTAAAAAAGGTCAATTATCTCCAAGCCCTAGTCATTGAGGTGTGGCAGCGGCATGCAAGGTACAAAGTTGATTACAACATCGCCAAGGCTAGCAATTCCAGGTTTGCTCTGAAGATTTATCTGATCTCATAACTAATGGTAGTCTACTGGAACCCACTTGTCAGAATTACTCAAAGTGTAATGCTTGCGTGACAGGTCAATGGAACATGATGTGTTGGAGCATATACTTGATGGCACAAAGGAACCAACGAATCTACCGTTTGAGCTTCTGAAGAGCATCACGAGAAATTTCTCTGAAGACAGAGAAATCGGTCGGGGTGGATTTGGAATTGTTTACAAGGTAACACTGACTTTGTAGAGAAGATTAGGTTCATAGCAGCGGAAACATTACAACTTCAGCAATATAATAACAGACCAATGTGGATGTTATCGAGCCAGATTGTTTGGTGGTGGGTATATTACCAGAACGACTAATTTGGGTACCAATATTTTGCAAAAAAAGAAAGAAAGATTATTAGACTGCAACATTAATTTTTTTCACTATTAACATGAAAATGATCCTTATACTCATAAGAGAAGTTTACAGGGTGTACTCCCAAATGAGATTGTTGCTGTGAAGAGGTTTTTCAGCCACCACACGATCGATGAGAAGATATTTTATCGTGAAGTTAACAGTCTATTGAATGTTAACCATGAAAATGCTGTCCGGTTTCTTGGCTACTGTGCTTCTACTGAGCATTTTGCAATGAAGATTGAAGGTTCAAGAGAGTATATTTACCCTGAGATAAGAGAAAGACTGCTCTGTTTTGAGCATATCGGCAATGGAAGCCTTCATGAATATATTACAGGTACATTAGTGTCGCATGTATTTCAGTTCTTTTCTTGACCTCTTTATTGTCATTCCTCTTTTGCTTCTACTTTGGAAGTCATAATCGACGATTAAAGGGATCGAATAGAAAATAATAATGTGTTAGTACACAAATGAAATACTGGAACATATCATGCTTCCCTAATGCTGTTTCTTCTTTTCGGCAGACGAATTAAGGGGACTTGACTGGAATAGACGTTATCAGATAATAAAGCAAATTTGTGATGGTTTGCTTTATCTTCACAAGGAAAAGCATATTTTTCATATGGATTTGAAACCTGATAATATACTTCTAGATAACCACATGGTGGTGAAAATCGCGGATTTTGGATTGTCAAGACTTGATGAAAAATCACAAACAATGGATGCAAATCGTTGTGTAACATTGTAAGTTGTGCATTTAAAGAACCAATTGATTTTCTTTTCATTTGCTCTCTTACATTCTCCTTATGTGATAATGTATCAAATTGCGGTATGTTTGTGCAGAGGATATTGCTGTCCTGAATACCTACTTGGTGGTAAGATGTCGGTCAGATCAGACATCTATAGTTTGGGCGTAATAATCATTGAACTGGTGACAGGATGTAAAGATATCCCTGAGAACAGTAATGTAAGAATGTTCTATCTGATGGTCCCTTTCTTCATGCTGGCTAGAAATATGCTAATATGCATTTTGTTAGTATTTATCCATGTACTCGTACTGAATTGCATAATATAATATATTAACATGGTACTTCATGGCATGTCTATCTGTATATCGGGATAATAAGTTAAACTTGGCGATACACTCAAAGCCCCTAGAACAGGATAACTCTCAAACACCCCTGGCTCGCTCACTAAACAAATATACAGATATTTGTTCTCCACCACCATTTTTGTGGAGTTCCTTTAGGAACTAGCCACCCAACTATCCAAGGTCATGTGTTCTATGGTGGTGGCATATTATCCGACAACTTTGGCTATTCTAGGGTTTGATTTATCGTTGATGGAGGCATCTTCAAGATCTAATGCCCCTGTGAACACTGCTATTTCCTCCTGCTCCTGTCATCATTTGTTGGTGTTTGAGTAGGAAGTTGGGCCACAACTGTTTAGATTCTTAGTGTAATAAGAAAAATGAGTGAGTTTGCACACTTTACATTTTGAAATACGTATTTTTGCTTTGTCTTAAATATGCTATGTGAAATGACAGGTGCTGAGGAGATGGAGGCATAGATGGAATAAATCACTGAAGGAAACACCATGGGCTTACCAGCAATTACAAATAACTAAATGCATCGGAATAGGCCTACATTGTCAGGAAAGTGATCCATACAAACGGCCATTTATATGGGATGTCATACATGATATCAACGAAACTGAAGATACCTTGGGACAAACCAGCAATGCTGATGAATCTGACGCTGACCAGGTATGCTTATAACATGTCATCAGGACCCTACTAGTTTTTGACAGGGCTTCGCTCGTCAATTTCAGAACTAGGCTTACCAAATATATTTCAGTGGGAATACAAGATTTCTGGAAGCATCTAATTTTAATTACAACTATTTATATATACATCAACCTTTTTCCTTGGTCAAATATTCAAAATACACTTGAAATAGTACTCCTAAGTAAGTTTGTTCATAGTATTTATATGTTGCTCTTTTGTTGCAGATAAGGCCCCACTGGGATGATGATATGCTTGGAATTGAGCCCCTCAAGCTACATTTTCATTTTGAACCTAACAAGCAGATATCATGCCTGCTTCAGTTAGCCAATGATACAACTGCTAGCATTGCCTTCAGTATACAATCGGTGAGCCCGATGCCATACTGCATACAACCAAACAAAGGAATTGTGCCGCCACTGTCCAGTTGTGCCGTTGACATAACATTACAGTCGCAAAGTAAGCCACCGAAGGACATGCAGTACCTGGGTGAGTTCGTCGTACGGAGCACCAAAGTAGCTGATGGAGTTACAACTGGGGAGATAACTTCAGACATGTTTAGTAAATTGTCCGGTGAAGTTGTTGATGAGGTTAACGTGGATGTTGTTTTTGACAGCCACTGTTAATCGAGGAAACTTGAGTATCCGTGTGTTGTGGGAAACGTCGTACCCGGTTCAGGGCGACGGCTTCATGTTATAAAGGCAGGGGCGCGACTCCCTGATAGCGTACAAGTTGTTAGGATAGAGACTTGAGATACAAGGGATAAGCTACTTGGAGTACAAGGGATAAACTAGAGAGAGAATATTGTTACAGAGAATATTTATCTAGTCTATCTAGCCTATGCGGTTGGCTAACCGAACCATCTTGAGCTGGGCGTGCCGAACCACCTTGACACCATAGCAATGTTGTTTAACACCCTCCCTTAATCACAGCTTGGTCAAGTTGAGATTACGCTTAAACTCCTCAAAACTTTTTGTAGGCAATGCTTTTGTGAAGCCATCTGCAACCTGATCTCGTGAATGCACAAAACGAATATCCAATTGTCTCTTTGCAACTCTTTCTCTGACAAAATGGAAATATATCTCGATGTGTTTTGTTCTGGCATGAAAAACTGGGTTAGCAGATAAATAAGTAGCACCCAGATTGCCACACCATAAACATGGAGTTTTGGTGTGCTTCACACCCAGCTCTCTCAACATGGACTGAACCCAGATAATCTCAGCAGTGGCATTTGCTAATGCTTTATACTCAGCTTCAGTGCTAGATCGTGATACAGTAGCTTGTTTCTTTGCACACCAGGATGTAAGATTTGGTCCAAAGAAAACTGCAAATCCACCAGTGGAGCGTCTGTCATCTATACATCCTGCCCAATCAGAGTCAGAAAAAGCACTGACAAGAGTTGATGAAGATTTGGTGAATGTAAGATCAAGACTCATAGTATCTTTCACATATCTCACTATGCGCTTGGCAGCAGTCCAATGAACAGTAGTAAGTGCATGAAGAAATTGGCATACTTTGTTTACTACAAAGGATATATCTGGCCTTGTTAAAGTGAGGTACTGGAGTGCTCCTACTAGACTTCTATATCTAGTACTATCCTCTTGACCCAAGAGATCTCCCTCTTCAAGTGACAATTTTTCTGTGCTAGACAAAGGAGTTGGAGAGGCTTTACATCCTTGTAAGCCAACTCTTCTTACCAAATCAGCAGCATACTTTTCCTGAGAGAGATGAAGGCCATCTTCAGTTTTCTTTACCTCAATCCCTAGGAAGAAATGTAGGTCTCCCAGATCTTTAAGAGCAAACTCAGCACTTAGGTCCTTCAACAATCCTGTCACTGCTTCATTAGATGAACTTGTGACAATAATATCATCAACATAAATAAGAACAAAAATGGATGTTTTGGACTTACTGTAGATGAATAGAGATGTATCAGATTTTGAAGGAGCGAAACCAAGTGCTTGTAGTTTCTGACTGAGACGAGAGTACCACGCCCTGGGAGCCTGCTTCAGTCCATATAGAGCTTTGTCAAGCTTACACACATGAAAGGGTTTATCCTTGTTCTCAAAACCAGGAGGCTGTTTCATGTATACTTCCTCTTCCAGAACACCATGAAGGAACGCGTTCTGCACATCTAGTTGTCTGAGACTCCATCCCCTGGAAACAGCAATAGACAGTACAAGACGAATAGTAGCAGCTTTAACCACTGGACTAGAGGTGTCTTCATAGTCTATGCCATACCGCTGTTTGAAGCCTTTTGCAACAAGTCTGGCTTTGTAGCGATCTATGGTTCCATCGGACTTTCTTTTGATCCTATAAACCCACTTACAATCAATCAAATTTTTACCTCGCCGTGGAGACACAAGATGCCACGTCTTATTTTTCCGAAGTGCCATGTATTCCTCTTCCATGGCCTTTTTCCAGCATGTATCCCCGAGAGCTTCATCAAGCGTATTGGGTTCTCTTGTGGTACACGCTAAACCAAACTTAGTTATTTGTTTGTAATTGACGGGTTGGATTACTCCCTTCTGTAGCCATGTACGAGGTTGGACAAACAAGGTAGCATCATTGGCGAGCGCAGAAGGTCCAGCCTCTGGGCCGGACAATCCTGAGGCAGATCCCCCTGGTGCTTCCGACGCACCAACCGCGCTAGCAGTTGGGTCAGCAGGATGTTCTGCGGCGACGGGTGATGCTAGAGCCGTGATGGAAGGCGCAGAAGATCCAGGCCGCGCGGAGGACACGGGCCTGACCGGATCCACCTCGGATCGCATGCCTGTCGTGGGCTGGGGCGAATCCGCGCCGGATCGGGCGCCCACCTTCTGGCGGCGCATGTAGTGGCGGGGTCCACCCGCGGGCCAGCGGGCCGGGGGCTCCTGCCGCGTGTCCTCCAAGGATTGGCGCGGGTCGGACGCCGCTTCTGGCCCAGTTGGGGCGAGCCGCGTGGCCGTTGCTGGGTCGCTGTCGCCACGCCTGGCGGGCGACACGGGATCTGGCGCGCTGGTGCCCTGCTGCGATACGGATCCCGGAGCTGATTTGCTGCCACGCTGCTGGAGCTCCGATCCCGAGGAGGATCTGTTCCCTGCTGTGTGACACATAAAATGTGAACTGTTTGGGGCGATTTCTTCACCATTTTCTGTGATTCCTTCGCCATTTTCTGCTCCATTGCCATCTGCATCATCACAAAGCTCAAGTGCACGGTTATGAGGATTAGTCATCATATGAGCATTACAGTTATTTCCCCCTTGATCATGACCGGTGAGACTAGATGGTAAGAGAAGAATTTCTTGACGAAGTAGGGCACCGGCATTAGGATGAAGGGTGGCAAAGGGAAACTTAGTTTCATCAAAAACAACATCCCGTGAGATATAGACGCGTCCGGTTGAAACATCAAGACACTTGACGCCTTTGTGTTGGGCACTATAACCAATGAACACACATTGTTTGGATCTAAAACTGAGTTTTCGATCATTGGAAGGGCGAAGATTGGGCCAACAGGCGCATCCAAACACACGGAGAGAAGTGTAGTCTGGTTTGGTGTGGAGAAGCCTTTCAGTGAGAGTTTCATTGTTGATAACACGACTAGGTAGCATATTAATGATATGGACAGCTGTGAGAAAAGCCTCGTCCCAAAATTTTAAGGGCATGGAGGCGCCAGCAAGAAGGGCAAAGCCAACTTCGACAATGTGTCTGTGTTTGCGTTCAGCAAACCCATTCTGTTGATGGGCATGGGGACACAACACATGGTGAGAGATGCCAAGTTTTTGAAAGAAGGAGTTTAGTTTCTCGTATTCGCCACCCCAATCAGATTGGAGGGCTATGATTTTGGTGTCGAATTTCCTTTCAACTAAAGCTTGGAAATTGAGAAAAACTTGGCATACATCTGATCTTTTCTTAAGAAGATAGATCCAGGTAAATTTACTATAGTCGTCAATGAAACTCACGTAGTATGTATGTCTACCAACAGAGGAGGGAGCGGGTCCCCACACATCAGAAAAAATAAGTTGCAAAGGCTTGGTAGAAATACTTGTAGAAATAGGATAAGGCAACTGATGACTTTTAGCTCTCTGGCAGGAATCACAAATTTTTTCAACATCACGCTCTCCAACATATGGGAGCTTATTTTTCCTAAGCAAATGCTCAACTAAAGAAAAAGATGCATGTCCTAATCGATCGTGCCACCGTGTAGATGAGACTTTGGTGGCACTAAAAACTTGTTTATTGAATCTTTGAATCTCCGGAATCAATGGGTAAAGCCCGCGAACACATCTACCTCGATATAGCACCCTCCTCGTGGCCTGATCCTTGATCAAAAAGAAGAAGGGGTGAAATTCAAGAAAGACATGATTATCAATGGCAATTCTATGAACGGAAAGAAGGCTCTTGGAAGCACTAGGAACATGCAAAAATTTTCTGAGATGAATTTTTCTCTGAGGGGTTTTAATAACAGAATGGCCAATGTGACCAATCTTCATACCTTCTCCACTAGCAGTGTGGATATGATCTTGGCCGCGATACTTCTCGCGCATGGTCACCTTTTCCAGCTCACCGGTGATGTGGTTCGTGGCTCCGCTGTCGATGTACCAGTTCGTGTCAACACCATATGAGGCTTCTGCTGCCCCGGCCACTTTTTCATCCTGGGACGATGCGTCATCATCATCCTCAAACCGGTACCAACAATCTTTAGCTGAGTGGCCCAGCTTGCCACAGATTTGGCACCGAACAGCATCCGGGCGCGATCTGTTGCTGTTGGAGGAGCTGGTGCGTCGGCCCCTATTGTTGTTGGAGGAGGGCCGCCCGCCGACGCGCATGTTGCCGCCGTTCTGGCCGCTGCTGTTGCCCCCGCCGGAGCTCCTGCCCTTCTGACGAGGAGGTCCACGATAGCGAGAGCCGCCACCGCCGCGGCCGCGGGTGGCGATGTTTGCCGAAGACTTGAAGCCACCTCCGGTCCCTGCCCCTTGGAACAAAGCCACCCTTTGATCAAAGTTACTCATCTGAGCAAACAATTCATCAAGGGTGACTGGGATGGTGCGGGCGTCAAGGGCAGAGACCAGTGGCTGGTAGTCCATGTCGAGGCCGTTGAGGATGTAGGAGATCAGCTCGTCCTCCTTCAATGGCCGCTCCGCCGTGGCAAGTTCGTCGGCGAGGGAGTGCATGTGCGCAAAGTACGTGGCCACCGATTGTGTCCCCTTCTGCCCGTTCGTGAGAGCGGCGCGGATGTTGTTGACGCGGGACATCGAGGTTGACGAGAACATCCTCGCCAGCGCCATCCACAGCTCATGTGTGTGGGTGATTGCGGTCACCTGTACGAGTACTTCTTTGGATAGATTATTCAGAAGATAACACAGTACTTGCTGGTCTTCCCTGATCCAAAGTTGATGTAGAGGATTCGGGGTGGTCTCCTCCTTGCCATCTTTGTCCTTGGAGACGACGACCTTGGCTGGTTCCACCATGCTCCCGTCCACGTACCCGAAGAAGCCAGCACCGCGGAGTTGTGGCGTGATCTGGGTACGCCATAGGATGTAGTTGGTACGCGTGAGACGCTCGGTGACTTGGCCAGAGAGGGTAGGGTTGGAGGAGCTGGAGGAAGCCATGGTAGGAGGTTTTCGGTGGAGGAGAAAAACCTAGATGT